ATTAGGAGTGTTCCCAACTTTGATATCATTAATGATTAATGATTGATAATCCTAACCCTAACCCTACCAAATCCTCCCTCCTAATGGAGTATCACCCAGCATTGAACGCTTCGCGCACGGTGGGTGCGCATCCGATAAGCCGTCGAACCAACGACTTTTGAACAGATATTTAGCAGCTACGTAGCGGGAGCTCAGGGACGTGTGACGTGTGCCTGAGGCGGTGTAGACAGCAGGCGAGAAATACATGTGTCGCAATAGCCGTACCTTCTAAGAAATGCCGTCAATCTTTTCGCAACAGGCCTGCTTACTCATCACTAGTCTACTTGGCACCAAGCATCCGCCTTGCTCGTTTCGTTAAAATGTTACGACGGAGTTGGTGCAAATCACAACTACTACGTACACTATAGCCGAATCACTTGCTAAATTAACTCTATGTGATGAAATGGCAGATTTGCTACGCATGTATTTATCAGGCATAAGAACAGGTCGAAAGGTTTTTGGAGGAAATATTTCAATTCGTACCCAAGGCACGATAACAGTGTGCGCACTGCGTACTGTCTTGTTAGGGGGTCTGGGGTATGCCCCCCCCCCCGGAAATTTTAGAAATTTGGAAGCGCAGATAGGCAATTCCCATGCATCCTGCGGGAAATTGTAATTAATCCATTCCGTTCTTAGTAAAAGACCAATTTCACAACTAACAATTCAGTCTCGTCATTTTCTATGAATCATTGTCAGAGTTTCCGTACCCACGAGTATTAGGGTAAAACTGGTAAAATCCTTTACATTACATAGATACACCACGAGATTTATCTGGAGTTCAGTTACTTCTGTGTGAAATTCGAGGTACTTTTCCTGACTTTTATGAAGTTCAAATTAAAAATGGCATCCACTGACACGAAAAGTACACCCCCCTCAAATTTTTATCCGTTTTTTTTGCATCGATCTCAAGAATGATCAAAATGAAAACCAAAACCCGGAAATCTGCAAATCCGCAGAAGATTCTCATGAACGATTTAATTGATCAAGCTGATCTACGAAATTATTTCTGAACGAAAATGTACGTGTATTGCTCATCAATTATATTCATACAGGTCGACTTCCATGTAAACAGCATTCATACACTAGTAACTAAAAATAGAAAACAAATGTGTAGCTTAAAACATTTATTATCGAGTACTGTGAATCACAATTTTGCTAGATGCACACTCCATGCAAGCTTTACTCAGTTCTAAAAGTGAGAACAAAATCTTACACGTTTCTAAATGAAAAATAATATCTACTGTGTCGGACTAATATGACGTCAGTTCAATAGCAAACCTGTTCCTAGATGAGGTACGTTTCATTTAAAGATCTGAATCTCATTTCAACTGAACCGTTATTCACAACAGCAAAACGAAACTTCATTTAAATGTGAAAAACTTTAGCAATATGAGAAAAAGAGCGAGATAATCACTGCAATTAATTTTAGTTTCCACCACGCAGACGCAGGACCAGGTGAAGGGTAGACTCCTTCTGGATGTTGTAGTCACTCAGGGTGCGGCCAAGTGGATTCTTGGGCCCTTCACATTTTAATCGAAACGCTTGCCTCTACCTCAAGGGATAATGATGGTTTTATCCGGTGAGGGGTACGTCACTAAGATCATCGCTTGCCACGCACGCAGAACGCCAAGGGACCAGCGTGAAGGGTTGACTCCTTCTGTATGTTGTAGTCACCTGCAGAGTCGGCGACCACTCTTCCAGCGCTGATTGCCATCCAAGGATCAAACCTCTGTAATCGGTGGGGCATGCCCTGATTTTGCGTGTGTGGATTCTTGCCTTCACATTTTTCGAATCGAATCGCTTGGCGGGGGGGCCTCTTTTTAAAACCTTTTTTCCAAAAGGGTAATGAGTGTTTTTCCGGTGATGGGGTCTTCCACTAAGATCTGCTTGCCACCACCAGACGGCGAGGCCAGGTGAAGGGTTGACCCTTCTGGATGTAGTGTAGTCACATCGAGGCGTGCGCCATCTCAGCTAGCTTGCCAGCAGATCACACTCTGCTGATCCGGGGGGAATGGCGCCCTTTTGTCGTTGGATCTGGCCCTTCACCATTTTTCGACAGAAGTCACTCTGCCTCTTGACCTCAAGGGTGATAGTCTTACCAGGAGGGTTTTCACCCGAAGTAATCTGCATTTTTGCGCTGAAATGATTGAAAATAGTAAGCGATTATGATTTTTGATGTTAGGGTTTGATTTCTGTAGGTAAAGTCGCACAAATCAGTCCCTATGCTGCCAAATACTAGCTCTAGTACTATAGGCCGCGGCGTGACAGTTGCGCAGGGCTAATAGAACATTTTATGCTAGGTTTCGCAACTGCACCGTGTTTTCGACAAAAGCTTCCAAACGAAAATCGCTTACAAAACCGGAAATCTTATCAAGGCTTTTTAGCACTATTCTACTACGATGACATCGTCACCTATCTTTTTGAACACTTTCCAGCAACTTACAGCAAACAAAGTCAGTATTTATGCATTTATTTAGTCCTCAAAGTCTTAGCACTGACTTCCAATCCGAATTTGAAATGCTGTTGTGTAGACGCGGTGACGTCTACCCCGAAATGTAATGCTGGGCCATGCATAGCTGCAGTGTGGATTTGGCCTACAGATCGGTGATGTCACGCGTGCGCACGCCACATCATTCCAAAACAGAATTGGAAGTTC